AAAAAAAAGGATTCAATTTTTATAATTTTTCAAACATACCTTGTTGTGCTCGTTTAGATTCTTGATTTTTTCGATATAAATCATCACCATATAATTGTCGAGCATATGCACAATGTGGAAACCAACGTGCATGTTCAATCATTGGATTATCATTTGGACCCCAGCTATGTAATGATCCATTACAATAGAAACAAGTAACAATCGTTTTTGTACCTGTATAGAAAAATCCTGCTCGAACTAAATCATCTACTGATGGTAAATCTTCATTTGAGCATGTTGCAAATGATGCAAGACGTTTTGGTATTTCTGAATAAGCTGGATTACATGAAGCTGTAAACTTAATATCATTAGATCGTAATGGGCCGAGATTATGAAATGTTGATAAACGATTGTCTCCACTTGCATCTGTTGCACCTTCATTGACAATTATTATAGATGAAGCTGAAGGACGTATCAGTTTGGCTTTGACATATATACAATTAGGTGAACGTGTTTTATGTACTTCACATGGATCATCTGTATGTGGTGTCCATTGTTGACAAATCAGATTACAATAAATGCATATTACTCGATCACCAACATTGCAATTAAAAAATCCAGCTTCCATCATTTGTGCACTTGATGGAATAGTAGGATGAGGCCAATGAGAAAAAGTACGTCTTCGCACTTGTTGAAGTAAACTTGTTTCAAGTAAAGTGTTTGAGACAGATCCCGAATCCGTTGTTTCAATTTTTCGACGTTTAGAAGGATTTTCTTGTTCATTTGGCATAGATATCTTTTCAACAGCAGTTGTTGGCGGAACGAAAGAGGCAGGTACATTTGACAACGAAGATGGTATTATAGTGCAGACGAATGGACAATCAGGTCTCTGTTTTGAATGAATAGTAAATGGATTCATATCTGATCTCCAGTTAGATACCTCAAGTCCACAGTCCTTACAGCGAGCTGTATCTCCATTACCTGTATATTCAAATCCGGCGGCAGACATATGACCTACAGTGTAAACGCCTAGTCTTTTTGTTAATTGAACTAGTGATTGAATTCGATGGCGGATACTAGCCAAAGTTGGTGAATCTTCTTTCTTCCTAACACACCATTTTGGTGAAGCATCCATGGATTCGAATTTATGAGATGGATCACTTAGAATATCAGTTGGCGCTCTGAATAAGGTTGACCTTGTATATTAGTTGTATAGTAGGTAAAATCTGAAAGAAATCTAATATAAAAATATATAATTTTTGGTTGCTTGGAAGTTTCGAGTAGATTTAAACTATTCAACTAATCTCATTAACTATTTCTTGAAGCATAAAAATGGAAGAATCGAATCTACCCTAGATGGTATTCGAATTTCATTGGACTATGAAATGCATTGCGAAGTTTGGAATGCTGAAAACAATCCGACATGCCATACAAAAGAATTTCACGATGCATCCTTCTATGATAAAATCACATCTTTTGGATGAAAGAAAAAAGTGTTAGAGACAAAATCAAGGGGGAAACGGCGGACTTGAAGTAGAAAAGTACGTCAAAGTAGACTACTTGAAGTAGCTCAAAGTACCACCCAAGTAGCCCAAAGTAGGAACAAGTAGCTTAAAGTAACTTCAAGTAACTTCAGGTAAATTTGAAGTTGAAAAATACTTCAAAGTAAGCTACTTCAAGTAGCTGAAAGTAACTTGAAGTAGCTTAAAGTAGCTCAAAGTAACTTCAAGTCCAAAAATCCGCCGTTTCCCCCTTGGCCAAAATACTGAGGAGGCCATTTATTCTGTCGCACGCGTTACTTTTTCTTTTCCCCATTGGCCAAAATACTGAGGAGGCCATTTATTCTGTCGCACGCGTTACTTTTTCAAGTTGGAAATTTCCAAGCGTAGGCGGGTAGAAAGAAACGAAAAAGAAAGAGTACGTTGCATTCATTCGGGCCATCGGATGTGATTGGTAAAAAAAAGAACCATAAAAAAAACCAACATGTGGCGCAACCTAACAGATGTAAAGAATAAATCGTAACGATAAATTTTAGTTATATATATTAGTAAAATGTACTTCAAAAGGTTAGTAATTATTTGAACAACGCAATTAATATTTCAATTCTGGAAGTGATGAATTTTGTTTATTGAAAATAAACCAAAGTTCGTCTCTATCAATGTGATTCAAGATTGTCACGTAAACAGTGGCAACATTTGGCTCAAAGGCTGGCTAATTGTTGTCGGCCAGTATTATTTAGTATAGGATTGAAATCTAATACAATTTTTCGTCAGAAAGTTTCTTTTTTATTTTGCCATCAAACAATATTTCGATACATATGTTGATTTTTACAAAAACTTTCTTCACCCCATTTATTGATCTCCCTTGTTGCTGTTGACAAGTGCGGAGATCACCTAAAAATTTTGATTTGTCTTTAATTGTAGACAAACGATGGTATAATTGTTCAATAAGGAAGATCTCACCTGATATATTACATTGGCATATAGGTTCTGAGAGTTTCGATCAATAGGATAATGTCGCCAATACAAAACTATATTTTAAAGAAAGTAATTATATATTCTGATAGCACCTGGAATCCTCTATCACCTTGTGTATTTAAGTCTTAATTTACATTTAATTGCTGAAAAATATTTTGAGTACAGTGAAGACTCCATCGTCCTCAGATTCCGACGAACTCCATTTTTTTTGTTCTTTTCTCATATGTTTTTAAAATT